AAAATGCTCAATGTGTTGAGTTCATGCAAAAATTTATTCTTTTAACCCAATATAAGTGAATAAAGAAAAAAGAAATATCATTTATGCTTCAAATTTTGTTGGTCCTTCTGAATACTTAGCTTGCTTAACTTCGTTCAACTTACATGATACCAGTAAAAATTTGTAGGACTAAACTCTTATTTGATCTTCTTTTGCAGCTTCTCTCAGCGACAACATTTGTTGGGGCAATATTTTGCTTTGGTGCCTTTTGTAATAAGAACTTGTATGCTTTCCTTGCTCTTTTCTCCATTGGTGAACTATTGGTCTTCGCCATTCAGGTATTACTTTTCCGAAGACTGAAAACACCTCATGTTTGTGTAGATGCTCCTGTTAATATTGCTAGTGCAAATATTAAATGCTTCTCGTTCTTCATGTAAAATTTTTTATGCTAGTAGATAAGTTTTACTTAATATGTCTTCAAGCAGTGATCTTAATTTGGAAATTCCTTTGCTATATGCTCCTCAAACTGAAACATGTAAAAACATGTTTGGAAGCTTTATTTGTGCCAGTGAAAATACCTTTTTTTTTAATGTTACTATTTGAACCTTGATCTTCCGATAACTTTTATCAGTTGTATTGGCTGAACTTTACTTCAGTGACAGGAATAATTAATTAGTATACTGAATGTTAAGTTAAAAAACATTATAAAATTAATTATGGAAGATATTGGCATTAAGCTAGCATATACTTTATGCATGCAAGCTATAGAATATTGTGTTGCTCAGTAAATTAGTTACTTTTATTAAACTGATATTCTAGCTCAAAAATGCATATCTATTGGGAAGAATGTAGAATAACCCTTTTAATGAATCTTTTATGAGTCTTTTGCAGGGTCCTGTAAATTACATAAGTCTCCATTGTGTTAAACCAAGTTTGAGACCGCTATCTATGGCTGTCTCTACTGTTTCGATTCACATCTTTGGAGATGTTCCTTCCTCGCCACTTGTTGGGGTTCTTCAGGTTTGCCTTCATAGACTGCATTATTATTAAAAAATAATGAAAACTATTCACTGACCAAGATGTTTTCTAAGCTTTTGGTCGTTCCATTGTAATCCATTGAAGTAGTGGTTTTGTAATCTTTTTCATATGATCTTCGCTTCATTCTAACAAAAGTTAGACACTGTTGGTTTCCACAGTTATAAGATTTTAAAGTTCATTGCATGTTAACTCTTTATGTTTTTAAATTGTAGTTATAATGTCTCAAACTCTTAATAAACATCCTTGACAGGACCGTGTTAACAATTGGAGGGAGACTGCTCTTATTCTGACCGCCATATTATTTCCAGCAGCAGTGATATGGTTTATAGGTAAAGTCATAGCTCGATAGTTCCGCTATCATCTTCTGGAGAACCATTTAATTCTCACCTGTTCCTTTTTCTGGGCGGGTAATTGTTCTAATATTTGCTTATATCTGCCGATTAAACCAGAGTCTAATAGTTTTGAAACTTCTAACGAGTCACATAACTGATTGTGAAATCTTGCCTAACTGAATTCATCTGCATACCAGGAATATTTCTGCACAGCGTGGATAGATTTAATGAAGAAAGTGAGCATCAAGTGAGTAGGACAGAAAGGTCAAACACAACACCGTTGCTTGAAGAAAGAAAACCAGAAACAGAAACTTCTGCACAACCACAGTAAGGTTTTTACAGCGTTTTTGGAATTATAGATTAGATGAATTCATTTTTTTGTGTAAATAATGTCTCTAGTTTGAGCAGAATGCGTTTATATTTTCACAGTTCAGAAAAAGAAACAATGTGAGACAAAAAATTTCCCACCTTTTGCTATTCATGAAATAGTAAATACAAAATTATCTGCTTGGTTCAGTCATCTCCTTTCTGCCTCTATATATCAGTCGTCCTGTGAATGTTAACAAGGCTGAAATCAACTTCAACACTCTGTTTAATTGAAATTTAATAATTTTGCTTAATCTTATCCGTTAATTATGGGAGGGGATGGTGTAATAATAATTCTTAGTACATTTTGTATGGTTTCTTTGAAGAGAATTGATTGTTTAAAGGGATGGAAGATGGATTACTTTAAATGAAACAATACCAATCTATATCTACTACTTGATTGGTGGTCATACATATCTGACTGCTAAATTATCGCATGTTTTATCATAAAAAAGTCATATTGGGGGTTACCTAACTTGGAATCTGGATTTAAGTTATGTTCAAGAAGATTTCCCAAATTTTATATTCATTTATCAGATTTCATTTGATATTAAAACAAAGAGTAAGCAACCTTTTCCCACCCAAGATTTGCCTTAATGACTTTTTCACCCAAAAGTTTCAAAATACCACTTTTTCACCCAAAGTTAATATTCTATTACTATTTAAAATTGATTTCGACAGTGAAAATTCTTTTTGTCACCACCATTTGAACCTCTGATCTCCTTTTTAAAAAAATTCTCTACTCTAGCATATGATTTCTCGTCGATTACTAGCCACTGCAAAGGTAGGGTTTCCTGTTTTTAGTTGATTTTCAGTTGATTTCGGCGACGAATATTCAATTAATTACCACCATTTGATCTACTGACATCCACTCTACAAAAACCTTCTTTCCCTGGATCTTGGTAACTAATGTTTTAATAACTAGTCGGGGTGAAACCTAGCAAAGTTGTTGGTTCCTGGGTTGACCGGCCGGTCAAACTGGGTGACAAAACTTTTAAAATTAAGTAAATACACCCCTAAAAATTCATTAAGTCCTTATAGGTTTAAAATTTAGCAAACACACCCCAAATACAAATCGGTCGGTGACTGGTTGGCAGTGGCGACACCCCAAATGCAATTCCAATCGTCCCTTGAGCCAATTCCCTAGAAAATCTACCCAAGATTTGGTTGAAATCGGTTCGATTTTGACCAGATCTCATTGATGCTGGCGTTGACAACCCTCCCCATCATCTCGAAAATACTTCCCTTTTCCTCTCGACCAAAACCCACCTCACCCCATCTTCTTTAGCCTAACCAATTGCTAGCAAAAGCCAATTGTTGCCGCTGCTAGTTTTTTTTTTTTTTTTTTTTTCGGCTGATTCACTTATTGGAAATCAACTTCGTCACCACCATTGCACTTTCTCTTCAAAAGTTGCAATATCTCGACTTTTAATTGTTCGCCGATCATCATCCAAAATTCAAGGGTTTTGGGTGAATAGAAAAAATGTTAACCTGGCCCAGTGAAGCTCTTGGGTCCCAATTAAACCGGTAGGGCCGGACCGGGTTTTAAAACAGTGCTGATGACTCGCCAAACGTCGATTGAGAAAATGAAGTGTATTTTGATTATTAACGGAATATAAATGTTGGGTGGAAAAGTGATATTTTGAAACTTTTTAGATGGAAAAGTGTCATTAAGGCAAACCTTAGATGAGGAAAAGTTGTTTACTGTAAAACAAATCTATAATGTGATGATAATGTATATCTTAAAATTTAGTTAATCATATTTATTTAACTAACCATTTTATAATAATTACAATAATAACTTATTAAAGTTATATTCAATTCCATAATTCTGCCATATAAATACCATAAGAAATTAGGTGACCTTAGGATTCGTATCTATGATTTTGATTTATAAAATATCAAAAAAAAAAAAATGTCATTTTTTTTCCTCTTCGAAAACTAAATATATTTAATAACTTAATGCCTTTAAAGCTATGTGTCAATATTTCCTTAGGAACTTAAGATAAGCATGAGATGAGCACACGTGTCAGGCAGGTGGCATTGTCAATCTCCTTCCAACAGCTACAACTAAAGGCAAAACTAGTTTCATAAAACAAGCTCTACTTAAAAACCAGGTGCAGTCAAGCCCACAATTTCACAANTATTTAACTAACCATTTTATAATAATTACAATAATAACTTATTAAAGTTATATTCAATTCCATAATTCTGCCATATAAATACCATAAGAAATTAGGTGATCTTAGGATTCGTATCTATGATTTTGATTTATAAAATATCAAAAAAAAAAAAATGTCATTTTTTTTCCTCTTTGAAAACTAAATATATTTAATAACTTAATGCCTTTAAAGCTATGTGTCAATATTTCCTTAGGAACTTAAGATAAGCATGAGATGAGCACACGTGTCAGGCAGGTGGCATTGTCAATCTCCTTCCAACAGCTACAACTAAAGGCAAAACTAGTTTCATAAAACAAGCTCTACTTAAAAACCAGGTGCAGTCAAGCCCACAATTTCACAACCTCATTGACCAACACTAACCGCTCTACTCAACAACGAGAACAAGAACAATCGCTTCACTCTCAAGTCTAAACCTAAGTCTTTGAAATATTCCCATGTACTTGAACCCATCTTATCTTTCCCTCAGCCCATAGATTTCTACTTCCTGTTTCCTGCAAAAACCTGCTTAGGCTTAATAATTGCATATATTATACAGTGTTATATATAGCCTTTCATTGTCATCAAACTTCATCAAATTTTTCTTTAGTTGTTCTTGTTTCCACTTTTTACCAATCGATGGCTCCTACCGCAGCAATGTTAACATTGTCTCAACACAATAAACCCACTTCTCCACCACATGTGGTGGGAGTAGCAACAGTGGCTGCCTGTGAGGTTAAAGCTCTGAAATGGGTACAACAAGGCTGTGCTATGTTCAAAGGAAGATATGAGCACAAAAAGTCATCTTTGGTTGATGTTGATCCTTCTTGTTTTGCACTGGAAAAGAGGTTTCAAGAAGCCCTGGAATTCATCTAATGTTAGAATGGTTTTTTGAAGCTGGGTGGGTGGACAAATGTCCAGTGACTGTAAAACTGTAAATATTTTCTGATGAGCAAATCGCACTTTCATATGTAAATTGAAAAGTGATTTCAAATCTTTTGATAGAGACGAATTGTATAATACGATGCAATTTTTGTAGAGATGAGCATATCAACTTCAACCATGAAGCAATCCAGAGAAGTTTCTGCAAATCAATTTTTGACATTTTCTAACACTGTAACTGAGCTTGGGAAACAAAGAGAATATCATTCTGAATAATTATTGTGACTAAAGTTAACCAATCCCAAATACATCTTCAAAGCCAAAAATGATAGCTTAAACATATATTTGTTACATAAATAAGAAGACTACATAATAGTGGATTATCCAAACTAAATAGTCTAGAAAACTCTTGCTAATGACAATAAACATCAACAGGACTTGCTCTATGGGAGAGAAAAATAGGCAATAGCCGAGCAGCACCTTATGTAGTCTTGGGAGTTGAAGTTATACAAGGGAAAGCTCTCCAGGAGAAATGGACCTCTTTACAAGTTTGGCCCATGATTCGTTAGTCTCTGTGATTACTTTCAAGGCATAATCCTGTTTATCATACACAAAATTCATTCCAATGTCAGAAGGGTGAATAAAAACTCACAAAAATGATAAAATTCACGTGGTACTACAAGTAAGAAAAGACAATATACTGCTCAATACCACGGACTGGTTATCACCAAAATTTACTGGCTTCAAATCAGTTAAATCTCAAAGCAATAAGCATGCATCTATATATGCATTGTTGCATGTACAATGTTGTTTTGAAGCATGAAATGCAACCAGATGAATAGCTATAAGATTACCTTGTTTGCAGCCTTGTTGCCAAGACCAAACTTGTTAGCAGGTTTTCCATCCGGGATTTTGTAGTCCCTAAACCAGTCTCGGATTGCAGAGAGAGTTCCCTGAAGATAAGTTCACCAGATTAGTCTCCACAATTTTTTTCTTTTTTCTTTTTTCTTAATGGTAACCCACAGTTATAATCATGCTACACTAATTCTTGAAACAGCTTTGTATAGGCAATAATACCTTTCTTTGTGCTTTAATCAACTTTGACTCAAATTCATATTCTTATAATTAATTTGAACATAAACCTCCAACAATTGCCACAGCCGAATTCAACCATCCCATTTTCACATTCTATTCATAATTTTATGTACTTGACATTTACCTCTCAATATTATGTTTGTATGTTCTGAGTACCAAGTCAAGATAAATAAAGTTTCTTTCATTTGCCACTTATTTAGAACAGTACTTACCGGGAAATGCTTCTCAACATCATCAACATCATTTACAAGGGAAGCTTTTGGATCATCCAATGAAATTGCAACTATTTTCCAGTCAAGTTCCCCCTCATCAATCATGGCTAAAACACCCAAGGGCTTGACCTTAAGAATATCACCAATCTTCCTTTGAGTTTGACCAATCTCAACAACATCAACTACAAAATAAATTAAGCAAGAATATTGTGAATAGAAATTTAACATATTAGAACAAGTAATCTAGAGTTACATGAAGAAGGCCAAATGTTCAGCAGAATATGAGATTTAATACCTGGATCATTATCCCCAAATGCCCCTTCAACTTCAGAATTGGCAAATGATGGGTCTTCCCATGTTTGTGGAAGCAATCCATAATTCCAATTTATATTGTATCTAAGGAACAAAAACTGATATGAGTGAGGAAAATACATTCAAAGTTCAAATCCCATTAAACATATTGACATGATCTGAGACATGGAGAGCAATAACAAAAGATGAAAACAAGAAGAGAAGACAAATTTGAGTTTTTGTTATGGTACCCGTTGAGTCCACCTTTCCCATTGATTATGGCTACAAATAGAAGTTCATACAAACTTAAGAAGAAGCCTCATGATGTATGCACCATTGCTAGCAATGTGTTGCATAATTGAAAGGTTTTAAGATAGATGATTGTAAGAATTAATTGTACATGGCACATGGAAATACAATGAGTGAATAAAGGAGAGTGATAGTCTTAAAAAATTGTTATTTACCAATCCATGCAACGTCAATATGACAGTGTATGAAAAAGAAATAAGATTAGATATTATTTGTGCTAGAAATTTCAAGACCATCAAGATACAAAAACAACATTATCTAAGATCTGCCAAAATAACAAAGTTGATATGCATGATGTGTTAGAGCAAAAGAAAGGATAAACAAGAACTAAATTCATCAGTGAGAACCTAAAAAATTGCACTAATTAAGGATAGGATGAGATACTTAGCTTTGATGATTTGGTCATGTGCAACTAAGACTAATAATTGCAGCAAGAAGGAGGCATGATTTAGTTTAAGACAAAAAAAGACATCAGGAAACATAGATAAACTTCAGTTAATGTGACTGTGACAGAAAACCAAACCTTATTGCCTATAGTTTAGCTTTAAATATGGCTAAATGGAGTTAAATAGAGGAAAGGATGAATAAACAGTTTGTAAACATGTAAGTTCAAGAAGAATTAGTATGCTGGGGGCTTAATGAGAACCACTGGACATTCCTCGGACTGCGTAGACGTTATGAACATCAATTAAAGCCAACCGAATGTTTCATTTATTTAGAGGTACAGCTTATGTAACACATTTTAACTTCGCTTCCATAAATATGGAGTCAACTAAAGATTAAGACTACCGAGTGGGGTGAGTCTATTGATTTCTAGGCAACATATAGCCCTAGGAAGAGAGCTAATAACATTTTTTTATTCAGTCTCTCCAAAAATTGCTAACTCTTGCATGACACATGTTCAAATTTTTTGTGAATTAATGCCAAGTGTCCAGTGTCTTCGTTTTGTTTTGTTAATTTACATAAACATTGGACACATGGCATGAAAACAAGCAAGCAAATGTTGGAGAGAGTTAGCAAATAAGTATTGCTTGCATATTTAATACCCCGAGACTGCATGAAAATTAAACTAAATGTAACAAAATTCAAAATATTCTCTAGATCAACAGCAGTAACGGTTTGCTTCAGATACTGACGCAAAGAGTATAACTGGAAGGTCACAACGTTTGCTAAAACCATTCAAACACAAATCGTAGGCATATATTAGCTTAAGCAACAAAATTTCATTATTCCAAAATACATATACCAATATGGAAACAAGCAGCGGGCACTTGACTAGACCAGTTCATACATGACAACTGCAATCAGTAACCATTTGCATCGTCTACCCAAGAGCTAAATTTAGACATCCTTGCATTGAAACAAAGTTTGTCAACTTAAGCACTTATAAGCAATGATATTAAAGAAACTTACGGATAATATCGAAGTTTTCCCTTTTTAGTATCCTGCTTAATGGGAGTGTATAGCTCATCAGTAGCAGCCTCCATCTTTGCACTTGACTCCTTGGGAATTTCGACAATAAAGTTGAAAGCACCATCTCCCAATTGTAATGGTATGTCATGCCATGGCGAAATCTACATAGCAAGAACAAGTAATTTTTGTTAAGCAGAAAGAATTCAACAAATTGATTTAAACTGTTAAAGAAGTTCCATTCTTCAATACTTAACAGTCAATATCTGTTGCAGATCCGAAGAACTTAAAAATCAAAGCCCAATGGCTTCCAAAACATAAGCAGCACCAACTTGAGCAGAAATTAGTTCTAAAGCTTATAATCTGAACGACACCAGCAATGTGCCCTATTTCCACCTTAACTAAATGAAACAGACCTCATGTTTATTAAATTTCAATTAGCTCATTCCTCTGTTATTGAGTAAATGATCTATGAAGAAAAACCAAAATTCTAAAATGCCAAAACCTTCATTTTGCCAATGAAAATGTAATAATCAATCACAATAAATTCATAAAGTTTTATTATCTCATGTTCCACGAATCCAAATTCTATGAATAACCTAACAGAAAATTAAAAGACAACTTTGGCCTAAATTAGCATAGATAGATCGCAAAAAGGTATACCTTCAGAAACTATTAAGTTCTCATCAACCTGCCTAAGGTATTATTCTCCAAATGTGGTACAAACCAATATAATCTGTGCGTGTAAGAAACACTTATTCTCCTATCTATGATTCTCGTTTCTTTTCCAACGTTTATCCCAGCAACCAAACATTTCAACTATAACTACTAAAACTAATTCCATTTTCACTATTCAGATTTCATAGTTTCCTTTTCCCACATTTTCTCACCACCAAACAGACATACCGAAATTAAAAAAAAAAAAGAAAGAAATATCCAGAATTTAGAATTGAAAAGACCTTTTTTCCAGAATTGTCAACAAAAAAGACTCTGTAATCCAAGGTTCCAGGCTGGCCCTCCACTTTGATTTGAACCTCAGGGTTGTAAATAGCCCTGCAAGAAAACACCCTCTTTGACGAAAGGAAAACTCTTTTATTGTTAAAGCACAAATTGGTGATATGGGATNCAAAAATATTACTATTAATTTAATCTCCTTTATAAAAATGTTATTTAAGTGCAAAACATTTAACTTTAAGCATGCATAAACTGATTACTTATATTAAAAGCAAGAAAGACCACAAGAAATTGAAATTATAATGAAATTTCAACAACAATTTTGTTGAAAAACAACTTGACCTAAAAGCTTAAGCTGAAAAAGAGGCATTTTCACGTGTTACATAAACAAAGACAAAATTCAAAAAGAAAGAACAACCCAAATACAACAGGATGTAATAGATGAGAGATTCAAATCATGACCTCTACTTTAATATCTGTTGTGTGTGATTTTTGTCGTAAACTCAAAAGTCTCAATAGCTCAAAAATCAGTAGATCAATGTGATCTCAAGGTCATGGAATCTTGAAGTCCGACTCAGCATAACCTCGTCACAACCATCCAATACAGCTGTTTAAGAGACTAAGGGATAAGCCTTACCTTGAACATCTCTGGAGGAATAAGAACGAATCAATATATGCGCAATCCTAGCACACAACCACTAAAATCATAATGGCGATCCCAAATTCCTCTCTACTTGTTTTGGTGTAAACTTGTATAAATACCCCTTCCAAATATGAGAAAGGGGTTAGCAAATTCCAAATATGAAACTCATGGGTGCGAAGTTAGAAGACAAGTTGATTCTAGGAGGCGACATGGGAAAAAGCCCATGGGAGAACAAGTTAATAATGGTTGCCGGGGGGAATCTCGCACTTAGTGACTTAGTATATAAAAGAAACGAAAAATGAAACATAATTCATAGATCACCTAAACCCTCTCAAGTACTCGCTTAAAATTAAGAAGGAATATCATACAAATACCATGTAATAACGTTTAATCCTATTCATGGGGATTATGTAAATATTCCATTCCGAAAATAGCAAGTGAAACAATTAGATCTTTTTTGAAGATTGGTACTAATTCATGATCTAACATGTACAAAGTGAAAACCTCATTCTCAATTCTATGAGAAATTTTAAGAAAGCATCCATAGAATCATGAAGAGTCTAAGTGAAACAAACACAATCATATGAGATATGGATATTCATTCAAAACAGACGACAAAAATGAATATATGTGTGCGGAAATTTTAATCAGGCGAGCATACAGATGATATTCTTCATATTCTTCCTTAGAATATTTCCAGACCAAAGACATTTTTTCACATTTTCCACAAGCATGAGATGCAAGGCCATTGCTGTTTCAGTACACAAACTCAATAGTGCTGTAGTGGTCCATCTGGTCCACATGAGGATTTTGTCTCTGACAAATAGTTAAAATTGGATTCTCCGCTAGGAATAGAATCAATAGGTTGGTCAAAAAAGCAAAGAAAGCTATTAGTTGCACTAGGAGTATTCAATGTTATTTTAGACCAAGAATAGGACCACCAACCTAATAGTTTTCATGATCTTGTTGAGAATAAAAAGGAACTTGATTGCCATATAATTGGCTAAAATGTTCTTCATGATCTTCGGGTCTAAGGCCATTGAGGCTATCCTTCATCACAAATGCTGAACTGAATATATGTTCCACAGCGACACACACTATTAGGAACTGTTACCCTTTGAATAAATGGGTATACATTGGCGAAAGGCGGATTAAATATTTCTAGAAGAAAGATTTCAAGAAGTGATACTATATACGATTGATTCGCATATCACATAGTATCCGTTGTTGCGTCCTCAAACAGTATTTTTCGTCCTAACGGGGTTTAAAGAAACATTAGGCAAAACCTTCGTTTTTTATAAGGAAAGGAGAAGTTTTTCAATTACTGTGCTATTACTTAAAAATGTAACATGTAACCCCGAAAAACCTCACTTCTTAAAGAACATTCTCGAACTCATTTATTTGAATGGCTTCTCATCTTTCACTTCCTCGGCTTTGGATTTGGCGAGGGGACACCAGTGGTCGAGTTCCTTGGCTTGCAAATGTGTTGCTCCCCTCAGCTGAAGGCTTCTACTCTATCACTCGTTTAGTAGCGATAATCCGAGGATGTATACATTTATTCAGGCTTTTAGGCAGGATTTTAGTAACGTCTGAGTTCTTTTATGCATGAAATGTTACTTAATTTCTTACATTTTGTGTTTCAGGCCTCTAAAATGAACATTTTGAGAAATTACTGATGAATTGGAGTTTTTGGACTCAGAAGAGGTAAGCAGATCTTAAATTGGGCGAGTCTGAAGCAGAGTGAAGCACTGGAAGCTTGTTCACATAGGAGAGCAGCGAAGATCGAGATTCAAGCCAAAGAAGCAAAGCGAGGCAATTCGGGAATTCAGAATTCTTTAGGGAGGTTCGCCGCGGCGAAATGAGGTTCAAGGCACGAGACCCATTCACTTCGTCAACTTCGGAGGTTTCTTCGTCACCGTGGCGGGGAAGTCTACAATCCCATTGTTACTAAATGCACAGTTTATTTTAGGCTAAGTTTAGGTTTTTGGTGTGAGGTATAAAAGGAAACTTTACCATTTTGAGAGAGGGCGAGTTTGTTTTAGTCTAGAACAGCTTTTCATTTCTAGTTTGAGATTTTGACGATTTTGTGTAGACAAAGTGAGAAGATTTGGGATTGAATTTGGTGGATTCTTCAACCGGGGGAGATCTCTATCTTTTCTCTCATCATTTTTTATTATGTTGAACTTTTGTGTTTATTGTTTTCATGGTCTTGTATTGATAGCTATGAAACTAAACCATTTTGGTAGGGTTTGAATGGATATATTGTGGGTTGGTGTGAATGATGTTTGGGAAAATTGGTTGTAATATGGGTGTGTTAATGGGGTTTATATGGGTATTGTGTGTGTATTGGGTGGGTAATAAATTTATATCTTGGTGGGGAAATGGGGTGTTTGTTGTTGTTTATAAATGTGGGTTATAATGTGTTGGTGTGATGTTGAATGTTGTTAAATGGTGGGTTGATAAATGTTGTCACATGATGTTTTTATATGGGTTGTGTGGTTGGTTACCGGGTATGTTTTGGTACTGTATTGGTTGGTTGGGGGTTGGTATGGGGGTGTTTTAATTGTGGAAATGTTGTTGTGTTGTATGGGGGTTAGTTGTTTCTTGTACCCCCCCCCCCCCCCCCCCCTGGGGGGTATGGATGTGGTATGTACTTGTTGGGATAAAAATGATAATTGTTGAATATTGTGGGTGGAAAAATGGGTTGGTGGGTTAGGGTGTGTGATGGTATGAGGTGTGTGGGGTAAATGATGTGTTATTGGGGGGGTATGTTTAATGTGTGGGTTTTAATGTGGGTAGGTTATGAAAATGTTGTGTGAATGATGTTATGTTATGGTAATATGTATGGTGTGGGATATGGTTTAAATGTTGTATGGGGTGGTGGCGGGGTGTGGGTGTGATGTGGTGGTTTTGTAAGTGGGGTTAATAAATGTGGTGGTATGGGTGGGTGTATTGCAATGGGTGGGTATTGGGTATTTGCGAATGGTGTAAATGGTAATTAAATGGTTGTTGTGGGGGGGGTGGTAGTAGTTTTTCGGATTTCAGGATTGAGCAATTGATTTTATTATTTCATACGCTAGTGCAAAGATTGTGTTATTATTCGGATTATGTTTTAATTGAAGAACATGATGAGATTGAGAAAGAGTCATGTTAAGCTTCTTGGGTAATCACCATTGTAGTATTAAATGCTAGAGATAGATTTAAGAATCAATGAAATCAATCTAGGATTCTAGGTGCTTAATGAGCTTAGAACTATTAATCTTCAATTGTTGGGGCGGAAGTTTAATAGGGAAAAGTAGGAAAAACGTAGCCTGAGAAGGCATGTTTGCAATTAGAGAATTCGATTACAATCAATGCATGTTATGTGAAAATAGCATAATCTGTAGGTTTAATCCATGAGTCCAAATGAAGTCAAAACCCTACCCATTTGTTTTAAATTGATATTACCTTGTTTTTAATCTGCTTTATAATTTAGCTTTGAATATTTAGAAATTTTGTTAGTTTAAGTTAATTTCTCCCATTAATCCAAACAACTCGATTGCTCCACTTGAAAATAGTAGGAAACTTAGTGCTTAGCAAAACAATCCTCGTGGGAGACGATACTCACTCATCATTTATACTTTGTGTGACTAGTGCACTGCTATTTATGCATGTTGTAGTTACAACGCATCAAGTTTTGGCGCCGTTGCCGGGGATTGGTTTTGTGTTAACATTAAAATATTTTTTGTGTTAGATTGGAGTGTTATTTTTTCTTATCTGTTGTTGTCAAATTTCGTTAGTCTTTTGGTTAGTGTGATCTACTCTTTCTATTTTTTGTCTTGTTTTGCGAAGAGCAAACGTCAACCAGTGGTTTCTGTGTATCTGAGATTGAAAGAACCACTCGAAGACTGAATAGAGAAAGAAGAGAAGAGAAGCTCAGTTGAACCGAAGTAATAGTTATAGAGATGCAGAGAATGAACACTGAGGGAATTCTCAGTTCCCATAGTTGAAGGCAGTGGGTCAAGTATTACTAGACCAGCGGTACAAGCCAATAACTTCGAGATTAAAGCCGGCAATCATCCAGATGATCCAACAGTCGGTTCAGTTTAGGGGTGATTTGAAGGAAGATCCAAATTACACATTGCAAATTTTTGGAGATTTGTGATATGTTCAAGTCAAACGGAGTGGTCAGATGATGCAATCAGATTGGACTATTCCCATTTTCATTGAGGATAAAGCTAAAGGATGGTTACTGGCAATACCAACAGGAACAATCACCACATGGAATGATTTAGCACAGAAGTCTAACCAAATTCTTTCCTCAGCAAAGTTGAGAAATGAATCACGCCATTCATTCAAGAAGAGTCAGAATCATTGTATGAGGCTTGGGAGAGGATACAAAGAATACTGAGAAGGTGTCCACATCATGGGTTGCCAGTTTGGATGCAAGTCCAAAAATTATAATGGATTATGGTGAATGTGCAAACTATGGTGGATGCAGCCTCAGAAGGAGCATACAGAATAAGACTCCGGAAGAAGCTCATGAGTTGATGAGGTTTGGCAGCAACATTATCAAGACCTAATGAGAGGGTGCAACCGAAGAAATCATGGGTCTTTATGAAGTTGATGCATATACAGCCATTTCAGCTAACTGACAGCACTTTAGAAACAGTTGGGAAGTATGCAGGTAAATTCCATTCAAACTCCTCAACTAACTTGTGATTTTTGTGTAGGTAATCACGTAAGCAAGACTGTCAAGTAGGGAACACGTTTCCTTAGCTCTGTCATTATCAAAGCAGGTAACACTTGGCGGAAGTCAAAGGCAACGAACAATCCGTACTCAACACAATATATCCTGGTTAGAGGAATCCACCCTAACCTGTCTTGGGGCAATCAAAAACAACAAAATCAGGAAACAATTAATGGAATCAAAGGGCATTGCCAAACAACAAACAGGGGTGAACAAACAAAAGGGACCCACAAGAGCGACAAAATGGAGTCATGTGGGAAGTTTATGCAAAAGACC